TGTGATTGGCCCGCCAGATTTAGGGCCTGGGGCATCGATCGAGGCTAGACCACTGCAGGCAGAAATGATTTTGGTTTACTAGGCTACTAAAATCCTAGAGCCCATTAAAATTCTTGATAAAATTGCAAACAGGCAGAGGGAATAAGAAAATGATCAGTCGTTTTTACAAACTATTTATATATATGGATCCAAACAAAACTCTACAGACCAAAGAAGAATGGGAAATGAATATAGATATGCAGCCAGAGGGATGGGAGGAAATATGCACTGAAGTGCATCAAGTCACTAATTCTAATACATGGAGAGAATTCAGGCGGAAGGTAATAACAGGAATCTTTAGGAAACCAGCGGTCGTATCCAACATGGGGGCCGTTCACTCTGTGGCTCACACATTGGTAACCGTATATTTTAGACCTGCCCTAAATTGAGAAAAATGTGGGACGAGATATTTGAGGCACTTGGAAAAGTATTTCAGTATTTCTGCACCCCCCATCCCTCAGTGAGGTCTAGAAACACAAGCTCTATATCCATCCATTCAGCAAAGATCCTGCTTCATGGCTGCACATCTGATTCTGACATTTGACCAATTAGATGAGCCATTGATTGATAGATTACCTGCTGGGGATTAAGCTAAAAACAAAAGTTAAAAAGTCATGAAAGAAGCTAATAGAAAAGTTCAAATGTTAATAAGCTTAGTTAACAATTATATTTAGGTTTATAAACTAAAAAATGTCAGTGCCAGTATCAGCATTAAAGCCTCTAAGGTTATTTTAGACTAATAAAATGTGTTTTTCATGAATTTCTTCTAGAAGCACTTGGTGTTTCTTCTTATTACTTTGAAATTAATTTTTGCCATCAAAATATCCAGATTTTTTTGAATGTTCCAAAGGTAATAAGGTCTTTTCCTGGATTCCAGTAACACTATTGGCTGAAATGTAGATTTTCAAAGTATTTCACTGAGCGCCCTATAAAGGGTTAATGGATTATTACCAAATGACATTACTGGAAGAGGAAAAAATACCTTCTACACATATTACTGATTACTCTTAAATGCATCACAGTTAAACGGCTGAAGGTCGACCAGCCAACGTACAGGATGTTGATTGAAGGTCTGGGAAATGTACCATAAGGTACAAATAATTTATTGCCTTTAAAAAGATACATTTATTAATAGGTGGAAACCGCCTATAACCATACTAACGCAGTAAAAATCTCCTTTTTTGTAATTTTTTATAAATAAATTATACTCCTCCTTTATCTTTACTTATTTATTATTATTATTTTTTTTATTTTATTTTATTCATCCATTTCTATTTGCGCTGCTTATTTTATTATTAACTATATTTATGTTTGTAAGTTACGCCTGTTTAACTATGTGACCTATTTTACTTTCAAACCGAAGCTTTTACTTTGAAAGTTTTGTTCTTTTTAAGTCTACTGTAAGTGAAGAACAGCAGAGTGAATGTGAGCTTGTACGTATATGTCTTTATAAGTTGCAAAAATGTAAATAAAAATGAATTGATAGAAAAACAAATGGAGGAAGAGATCTGGGTCATCAGAAAGAAAACGACCAAAAACAAAAACATTTCTAATTATTTCCAGGTTTTTAGGACATTTTTAATGTCAGAATATAACGACCTTTAGAAAGACGATATTTATTGTTCATCTTTATAATACTTTAGTTTCTAAAAGTGTTTTTGATTCTGATTTTTTATTTTAGATATTACTGTTTAATTCTCCCATCAGACTAAAACCTGATGGGAAAAATTTGGGTTATTTATAGAAAATCTAATAATTAGTGTTATAGACTTTTTTTTATTTTTCTCTCAGTTGGTATTTCTGCCTTAAATTTGTGAATTATTATTTAATTTTCTAGTTTTATGGAGGAGAATCGTTATTATATTGATATTTCTGAAGATCAATCGATCTTTAATTTCCCAGAATAATGAGGACATTTAACTTCCTGTACTTTGGGAACATGACTTCCTCCTAAAGCTCAGGGAGTTTTTATGCAGCTTTATTCTTTTCTTCTAATGAGCATTAAAACAGATTGATGAAGAAGAGGACATTTCTGAATGTCTGCTGAATCCCTGCAGGTCAAACTGAAGCGTGAGACGTGCGAAGGTTGAAAAACTGTAACCTAACCCTCTGAGGCAGCGTGAAGAGCCACAGAGAGGAAGCTCCTGCAGAGACGCTTCCGCTTTACGGGGACGTCTGTGGACGGCGAGGGCGACGTCCGTTTGGCGGGACATGGCGGGGAATGTGAGGACGGCGTGACGGAGTCCTACCTTCAGCAGATCTTTGGGGAAGTCTTTCCCGTCGTTGAGTCCCTCCAGGTTGGAGATGAACTGACTGCAGGACATCCTCTTCCCCACGTTCTGCACAGACAGATGGACTCAGAGGTCAAAGGTCACCAGACTGGCTCACCTGCTACCTACAGGAGCAGCTCTGCTGCTGAAGGCAGAGACGACCTTCAAGGCTGCTGCTGTTTGTGGTCAGGCTGGTTGTTACCATGGCAACGCTACTCACTTCCTTAAACAGGTGACAGAACTGAATAGTTTGATCCAAACAGAAATAGTTTGAAATTGGAAAATATCAAGTTTCTAAAACTGATCATCAGCAAAGATCATTTCTCACTTTTCAATCATTCAAAAGCAAAAAGAAACAATCACTGAAAATATAATTCTGGTTTTAAACGTCTGAAGAATCGGTTTTAACAAACATGATAGAGAACAGCAAGACTGTGACCAAATATGGAGTTCCTGTTTGAATCTCAGCCAATCAGAAGGTCAGAGACTGAGGAAGAGGAGCAGACTCACGTTCCCATGAAGGTCTGTGTTCAGCAGCATGACGGCACAGGTCAGGGTGTGGACGCTGTCTGAGAGACAGAGACAGAGACAGACAGGTCAGGGTGTGGACGCTGTCTGAGAGACAGAGACAGAGACAGACAGGTCAGGGTGTGGACGCTGTCTGAGAGACAGAGACAGAGA